TCTCCAAGGTTGTGACTGGGCAGAACCCGGTGTCATTGGGGAGATCCCTAAATTAAATGGTTGCAATTGCTGACCTCCAGTCTGGTCAGATGGCAGTGGTGGTTGATGTTGTTGGGTTTGCATCACAACAGCTTGAGTCTTATCTTTCTTTATATTGTCCAACAATTGCACCTGGGCGAGCTTTCTGAGCGTCTCCTGGTCCTGTTGTTTTTGCGCTTGTTCCTTTTTACGATGTAAGTTGACCTGGTGTGCAACATGGACGGTTTACACACCTCATCATGCTGCCCAGTCCAACCACCTCTGCCAATTTGTTCCTGACTGGTGGTGGCAGCCCTTCTTGTATCTTTGCTCGGAGAATGGACTGTTCCATACGGTTGAAATCTGGGTCATTTCCGGTAATATTTCTCCAGGCTTGATGAGCTCTTGACACATAGGCTCGTGCATTCTCCTGTTCCCCCATCGGTGAGATGATTATATTATCCGGATGAACATTAGCTGGAAATGTTGGTCTCAAAGCCCTCCACAACTGTCCTCTGTATGCTGCAAAAAGTTCTGCGTCATACACCGTTGTTCCCACCTGTCTTTGGAGTCCAGCCTTCTGTAAAAGCTCTTCCATGGCCAGGACCCCAAGAAGGTTTGCCAGAAGACGTTTAATGTCCCCAATTGTGGGCTGAGTCCCAGTAAATGCTTCTTCCAGCTTCGAGATCCATGGCTGTGCACCATCCTGGAGTACTGGCAGTTTTTCGACTATGTCTGACATGTCCGTGTTCTGCCAAGATTTATATTCGAGATTCTGTCCTCGGAATAGGTCTGGGGCTATCTTCTTAACGTCTCTCCTTCTGAGGTTGTATCTTCCAGGAAGGCTGCGTTGAACTATTTTTCTTTTTAATTCATTTTCTTTTATCTTCAGCTGCTGCAATTGTTCTGTCAGCAACCGCTGGTTCTCTTTGCTGGTAGCTTGTTTCAACTCAGCAAGGCAGTCATGCTTAATCGCCCTTAGCTCTTCTAGCACTTGTTCGATGTCCGGCAGTTTAGGCGATACGGAAACGCCAGCGTCAGAGCCTTGTTGACCGTCAGAGGACTCACAGTTGTCTTCAGAATCTGCCTCACTGGAGTCGCTGTCCAAGATGATCTTCTTTGGCTGTCTTTTGCCCTTTAACTCAGCTTCCTGCAGGATACTTTTAATCCACTGGTTGTATCCCCCAAGTGCCTCATCCGATTTGCTATGAGTGTTGATTCTGTCGGAAGTGATTTTCTGGGAACCATCTGTTGTTTTTTTCCTCAGAGTGGCATCACTGGTTCTGCACTTCGTGGCTGGATACATTGTGATGGTGGTTCTGGCTTGTCCTGTCTCCAGAACCCGTCGTTCATCATCTTCAACATGATAGGTTCCTTCCTGATTAATCACTGGGAGTTGTGGGTAGATGTTCTCACTTAGATACGGTGGAGGACAACAAATTGGAGCAGTGTGAGAGAAAGGTTTATCCGCCTCTGTCCTCAGTTTTTCTGGAAGAGGTGAGTTGTCCTTGTTACCTGCTGTTGGCTTCTGTGTAACTTGAAAATCATCGTCACCCTTATAAGCTTGTAGGCGTCTCTGGCCCTCATCATAAAACAGCTTCAAAATACCAAGTTCTACACAACGTTTGTCTTTACGTTTTTGTCCACACCTACCTTGTTTCTGTTCTGCTTTATAAGCAGACACCAGTACTTGAATTGTTTCAATGACCGTTGGATTAAACATTCCTTGTTCAGGTCAGGGTTGTTCAATATCTGGCCATCGTTTGTGTAACTTTTTGGATAAACTTTCAATTCCTATAATTAAGGGATGTTTTTATTTAATGACATCAACCGGAGTAAGTCCGGGTGAAACCTTTGACTTTTTTTAGGCATGTTATTTTATTATCTATATGCAGTTCTCTGGCAACCACTGGGAACAAAAGGGAAACAAAGCAGCTACTGTATACTTTGTACACTGTGCTAGAAACAAAACGAAAGAGAGACTTACTTGTCAAAAATCAATAGACAACAGGGCAACCCAGCAGCTGTCAGCTATGAAAGATGCACATGTCCGTTGCCAAATCTCAACATTCACTTATGTGTGTGTATGAGTGTATGAGTTTAACAGCTTTGGTGACAGGTTGGGGCAAAAATCTAATGGAAGTCAACAGAATGTCCCCAATTGGATAGCTGTGCAAACTTGAGTGTGTGTGTGTGTGTGTGTGCGTGTAAGGGTGTGTGTGTAAGAGTGTGTGTGTATGTGTGTGTGTGTGTGTGTGTGTGTGTGTGTGTGTGTGTGTGTGTGTGTGTG